TACTATATCTTCTCTGAAAGACATAAAATTTCCCAAGAATCATAAAATCATATAATAGTTTGGGTTGGAAAGGACCTTTTAAAGGTAATCTAGTCCAATCCCCCTGCTATCAGCAGGGACATCTTCAACTAGACCAGATTGCTCAGAGCCCTATCCAAGCTGTCCTTGGATGTTTCCAGGACTTGGGCATCTACCACTCCGGGGAAGAAAGAGGGGGCAAGGTGCAGAGGGGTGTATGGGCAAAAGGTACAGCTCAGGGGCTGTGAAGGAGGGGTGGATGGGAGCACTGAAGGACTCTGGGCTAGGGATACAGCTTAGGAAAGAGAAGCAATGGCTGTGGAACTGGTCCTTGTCACAGGTGAATATAACAGCAGAAGAAGCCAGTTGACAAGGGGCATTTTGAGCTGCTCACAGCTTTTCCTGAAATTGGAATAAAGGTGGTTGTTTGGGAATAGTAAAAATATGGATGAGGAATGCAGAAAATTACTTGGAAACACCAGCTATTTCTCATGGTCTGAGAGTTTGTGTAACCTGGCAGCCAACAAGGGTAGGGGACGGAGATCCTGACTACAGTTCCCCTCCCAGCTTGATCAGCAACTTTGCCTTCCAGCCCCGTACAAGCGTGACAGTTCCCTGCGTGCTCTGGCAGAGCAGAGGGAGCAGGGCAGGCCAGCACAGCCTTGACCTTTGGCCAGCCGTGGTAATGTTCCAGCTGCCTGCCATGGACCGGCAGCTCCAGCTGCTCCTGCCAGCAGGAACCTTGGCACAAAATGTGACGTGCTCTTTCTAGCAAAAATAAAAATAAAAATAAAAATAAAAATAAAAATAAAAATAAAAATAAAAATAAAATAAGAAATATGCTTAAAAGTAAACCTTGCTATTTTTGACTCTGTGTTGCCCTGCTGTCTCGTGCACCATTCCATCAGTTAGCAAGGGTCAGGAGAAACCCCATGTGGAAACAATAAAATACAGATTAAAGATAAGGGTCTGGTGTGACTGTAGCTCTTTTCTGCACTCTGTCCAAAACATTGTAAAAGGCAAATCAGCAGCCAGTATGGGGCACTGGGAAATGGGAAGTGAGCAGTGCAGGACAGAGGATATTCCGTTGCTCTTCCATGTTGAGGGAAAACCTATCCATTGGGGTTACTCCCAGTTGCCCCTGCATGCCCCACACAGCATTGTTATCCCACAGGAGTAACATTACATCCATTCACATAGATTGCTCTTCACTTGTTTGTCCTGAACATTAATCTCTTTCACATCTAAATTCAAGTGTCATGTGAGTGCTATGACTTCCCCTTGCCCACCATGGATCAGCAGGGACCCTTAAGCCGCTTCCAGCCCCTTGGAAGAACTGATGGCTGTCAATTGATAAACTGGGTCTCTCAGGACATGCAGACATCTTTTTTTTTATTATGCGCTGGGAAGGGAGCAGGGAATAAGCAGATGGGACCAAAGTTCCCTCCCTAAAAGAGAAAGTGCCATTTCCCTTACCTTAATCACTCTATCAGCAAGTTTCTTCAACTAAATCCCTTGCTCTTCATTCCAGCTATGCCCAGCAGAGAGATGGCACCTGGCAGGGTGCTTTTGGTGATGATTGCCAGCTCCAGAAAGCAGAGCTATCTTTATTGTGGGTACTCAAACATTTCCTGGTTTACAAAAGTTACTGTCATCCTGGTTGGTGTTCCAACAATATGTGAAACACTTCCGGGCAACCATAACTCTGAGGGACTGGAGATTTATTTTTCATGAGTTCCAGTGGTTTTCTCACACATATTTAACAAAACAGCCATAAGCTGCTCAGAGGAGCTCTGAGTTTGTCATGCAGGTAGACCTAAGCCTAAAACAAGCAGTGAAGTAGTTGTCATAAGTTTATACAGCAAGTGTCTGAGCACTAACTTTATTGAGCAGATAAATACACTTATACATAAACAAATGTAGTCTGCTGCTGCAGATATCCAATAAACTAATTGAATAGGTGGGGTGGGGAGGGAGACTGGGATGAGGTGACATGGGAAGAGGGACAACAAATTAGATGGGTCAACTTTTTATTATGGTCAAGACTTAAAATACCTCAATGATACGCTTATGTGGAAAAAATATGTTGGCTTTTATGTTACAGATAGTTCAACATAAAGAAGTACAATCTTACTACATTTCTTACACAAATTTCGTTCTTTACTTATGTAGTTTTGCATGCAGAAGAACTGTAAAAATGATAAACAGTATAAACACCAAAACAAAAAATGGTTGAGGCAAAAAGTGATGACTTTTTCTGTCACAGCTAAACATTGTTCTCAAATGGAAGATAAGAAATAACTGATACGAGTATGTAAGTAATTGAAACCATTTTTACAAAGAAGCCTGCCAGACTGTCTTCTGCATGTATATATAGAGCTGAAGTGGTATTAGTAGTGTTACCTTGCTAGCAGTGTTATTTAATCCAACATAAGCATTTGGAAGACATAAGAATGAGGAGTTTTTGATCTCTCTGTTAATTCCTGATTTCATGAGAATTAAGGTTTTACATGAGACCTGAGTGAATTCCTTGAACCCTAGGATGGTTCAGAATATCAAATCTTGGCCCGTCCTGTAGGTTTTTAACTCAAAAATGTAGAGAACTCCAAGTTCTGTTTCCAGGATTTGGAAACTGATTTCTCAATCCATCCTCAGCCCTCCCTCTTCACTGCCTCATAGCTGCAACTTGCTTTCTCTTTTTTTCTGTTCTTTAAACCACAAGAAATACTCACCCCTTTCTCTTAAAACATGAATAATTAAATAGCACTATAAAATTAAGGTCTTTAATGGAAAATAGGAAGAAAAATAAGTTTAAAAAATCTAGGGTTTTATGAAATTTTGTTTAAAATGGTGACTGAACTTTTAGATCTCTGTAACTATCTGTCAAGAGGAGTCAACTAGAATCATACACGTGAAGCCATAACACATTTTGCATGACCTTGAGTTCATTTTTACCTTCCTACTTTCAGTTAGTTCTGTTACACACTAGACTCCTTCTGGCACCTTGTTAACATCTGGATGCCCTTGTTTTATATTTTGCCCCAAACTCTGTACATTCATTTGTACTAAGTGATTACTTCCCTGGAGAAGTTCCTACTCAGGTGAATTTTTATTGTTTCTGTCATTAACTTTTCCTTTTTCATGACAAGGAACATTCTGTTTAATTCTTACATAAATATATGTAAGAGCAGTATTAATTATCATTGAACTTCTGCTAGTAATGCCTAAAAAACATGAGATGTGAAAGAAACAAAAGCTACAGCTTTCATTGTTAAGGAAGATAACACATTCCTATCCTGCTTCTTCTCTACTCAAACTTTAATTCATATTCTGTGGTCTATCTTACCACTTCACATTATGGAGAACTGACTCTTCCTCTGGCTCGCTTAAGATCTCTATTCCAGTATAAACTAAATTTTGCTCCCTTTTGCAATCAAAAGCCATTTTCAAATCCAACTCTGAGTTGTATGAGCACTGTCATAGTTGAAAATATGAAAATTATTTTGCAAGTGGGGACAGAAAAATATGCAAACAATGTGATAAATGAAATTTAATCAAGCTACTATTTTTCCTTAGAAAATATAATTTGAATTATTCACATCTACAAGCATTAGAGACATGACTTTTTTGGGAGTCAGGACTGGGATATGCCAGCTGTTTTCCTGATTCTTTAAATGTGCCAAGCTCTAACATATTTTAAAAAGTCGATTTAAAGAGAAGCACCCTCAGTGGCTGCACTTTCTTAGATTCTACAGTAAAATGCTATTGGAGCAGGTTGCAGAAAGAGACATCCAGCAAAACTGGACATACAAAGTCAGTTTGTTCTCAGAAAATTGTCTGTATTCTTGGTCATATAGGATTGTGGAAGCCACTGTGTAAATCAATTAGTTGATTAAGTAACAGAGATTTCCAGGAAAGAAAACTAGTTTCCAACCAGTGCTGCTGTTTATGCTTCATGCAATGTACCTGAAATATTTAAACAGATGAAAAGGAAAGTAAGAAAGGCAGCCCAAACATCTGAATGCCGGGAAAAGCACTGTGGCAAGCCTGTAACTTCAGCTGGTCAGAGCTGATATGAGGTCTCTGGAAAAAGTTAAATTTAGAAAAGAAAGAAAGAAAGTGTATTTTTTAAAAATGCAAAAGCTTGTCCAAATGTTTTTAAACCATTTTTTTTCAGGGTAACAAATAATGCTTAAATGTCCACTGAAGTCAAACTTCCACTGAACTAAATCAGTGCAGTTTGTTTGTGGATACAAAATGATCCTGCTAAACTGAGCTACTCACTGTTACTTGTGGCAGCTGTGGCGCATCTGTAACACTAAGAAATAGCAGCTACGTTCACCAGAGAGGCACGTGAGCTCTCATGGGCCAGTTGGCCATTTCCCAAACTTTTGGGATGTTTGTAGTTCTTTGTCATAACAACATTCCCTCCCTTTCTGTTCCTCTTAACAAGACAGGAAAGTTACCCTTTATCATTACTGGAAAAATGATGCTGCTTCTGAGAAAATGTTACTGTTTCTAGAACTGTACATTGTCTTGTCTTCCTTTCATCTCTGTCAGATTATACTTAAACAGATTCTTTTATTAAATCCCTTCATAATATGGTTTACCCTATTAAGAGTTCCTGTAGTAACTATATGCATGTTACATCACTGGAGAGGGAGGAAGTATCTCTTTGCTCTGCACATTGTAACACAATGGCCCTCTTTCCTTTGTAAATTGTGGGAGGCATTGCAAAATAGTTTGACAGTAGCTAGACTACCTTGTGTGATAGACTGATGAAAACATTTGACTCAAGTTCCTGCCAATTAAACCCCCAAATGTTGACTGTAAACTGCAAGAAATATTTTCTTATACCTGTTCTGAATATCAGTAGTGAAATAAGCAACTCTAGTCTAAACTAAAGTTTAGAATTTTGAAACAAAAAAAATTCTTTTTTGTTTTGACAGAATAAAGTTAGCAGATTTTTTTGAAGTGGCTTATTAATAAACTGCATTTTTGTCAGAGTGGGATTGAGCTGTACCATAAAAATACCCCTATCATTAAATTATCTGCTCATACCAACTGAAAAGTCTTCACTGAAGTCAAATTTGGTATGCATCCATTCGACTCACTTTCCATCTTATTTATACACAGTTGTAGACTGGATTTTTCTGGGTTGAAAAGAAACGAGACATGAACGGAAAATCAACTAACTTTCCAGTCTCCCTTTTTAATTACATTTGTAGGGAAGATAAATCTTCTGTGGATTCAAACAAATGTACAAGTGTAATTTCACTCCTGGTATTCAATTGCACTTCAAAAAAAAAAAAAAAAAATGCTTCTGAGAAATGTTCAAAACTCATGTGCATCACAGTGGCTATATATGGTACATGAGAACAATAACACTGAAACATCACAAAGCACAGCATAGGCTAGACATCACTTGAGTTTAATGAGGCAGTAGTCATAATGAGAGACAAATTAAAACACAGCTTACTGAAATTATCCGTTCTGAAAGAGTATCGATGTCATAATGAGTCTCTGAGCTGCAGCTAACTGTTTGAGATGACAGAGCATGCTCCACTAGTTGATTCTAAAAATGGTAGAAAAAGGCTAAAGCCACTTTATACTGTCAAACATATATCAATGGCAAAAGAGAATTACTTCTGGACATAGGTACCCCCATAACTCTCAGATGGTACAGTGCTTCATTTGTAACAAAAACAAGACTGAGGCATTGAAAAGTTACAGACCCAGAACTAAAGACTACTCCTGTAAGGAAGCTGATTCACCTAAATGAAGACTGTTGGTGTTGAGACCAGGAACTCTATCAGTATATTACTAGAAAAATATATTTAAATTACTTCACAACAATGAATTGAATGAGAATCCTAGTCCAAACAGGACTAAGATTTCCTTTCATAAGGAGTAATAATATTGCATCACTAATGATGATTTTGTATTCAAAATTATTTCATGCCAGCACAAAATCTTTGCAGGGTGTGAAATTTTATTTGCCTTATCCAGACTTTGTGGGCTGTGCATATAAAGAAGATTGTCAATCAATTTGAATGAACTATTGAAGCAACACTATGCCACTTTTGCTACATATTCCACTCCCTTTTGTTGAGTGACCACTAGTAATTAATTACAGCCTACAGTTATAAATTTGCTTTTCACTCTACTCTGATCTTTTAGCATGAGCTCATGTTTTGACATGGAATAAGCATTTTAAGTATCAATCTAGAGGAATCCTAAAAAGGCAAAGCAGGGTCACTCACAGCAGACTGTCACACCACTGGAGCCCCAGTGATTACACAGATCACTGTGGATCCATCGGATATGAATCGTCCTTTCTCTGTTCAGATGAGAAGATGAGGGAACTCCTTGCTCCTACAGTCAGTCTTACAGCTTGTATCAGGCAGGAGCCCTGCTGGCTGGTCATCTAATGGGCACAGAAATGCTTCCAAGGGCATATGATGGCTGGGAGAGGATTTAGTGTCATTTCTCCCAGTCGCTTTGTCATGAGCCCTCTTCCACAATATTAGGAGGGAACTATCACCCCTTGAATCTGGCCAACGGCCAGATGCTACATAATGGAATAAGAGAATAAACATGGATACCTGATGGTTTGGGGTGGCTAGGCAGAAGGGGTCAAGGGAGTAGATGCTATACAAATCTTACAGTTTTAAATATTAAGACAAATCTTGAAAATTTCCATTTTCATAATAGTATGAAGTCTGTTCTTCTGTGTCTTGAGTTACTTGCTTTTGCTTCCTCCATTCCCTTCTCTGTACTTCACTATTTTGACTGGTAGCACCATACATTTTCTTTGGACTTACAAAAGTTTCATTGTTCATCTCTGTTTCTTCAGCCAGTTCATCCTGATCAATTATGCCACATTTCTCTTCATTGAGGTTTTCAGGGTCAGCCCATTCCTGCTTCTCCCCAGAAGCAAAGATGGCATAGAATATCACACCACTGTAATGCACCAGGGCTGCGATCAGAAAGACGTTCTGCCATTCTTCACGAGTCTGAAAGAATGGTGCAGGTCTCATTAGGTTTTCAGTAAAAAGAAATATTACTCTCTGAATTACACCATGAATTAGTGTATATTGAACAAAGTGATCACTGTTTGATTCCTGATGTTGCAGATAAAATAATTTATAAGAATCACTGTGAAGAATTATTTTTCTTCCCATAACAACAGCTAATAAAATAAAATTTGGGTTTCTTTGGGTTTTTTTCTCATGTTGAAGTTTCTCTCTTGCATGTGAAATATTCATGGAGTTAGAAATGCAGGGATTTCTCTAACAACTAAGTTAATCTTATTGTAGATCAATGATTTCTTAGGAACCCTACCAGGGATGCATAGTAGAGGAGTTTCCCAAGTGCTAAGAATCAAGTCACCATGGTATCATAAAAGTGAATGTTTAAGACAGACAACAAAAGAAAACAGCTACAGAGACCAATGATAAAATGCAATACCCAGAAGTCTTTGAAATGTCTTAACTTTTGTTGTGCTACCCAATGGTTCTCCTAGAAAACACGGAGAAATGTTACCTTATGTTTTGTCATTGCACCAACAATGAGTGGACACACCATTCCTGACAGTGTCCCCACGCCGTTGGAGATCCCCATCAGAATGCTGGCATAACGTGGGGCTATGTCCAAGTGATTCACGTTGAATCCTACAAAGGATGAGAGGCAGTGGTCAGCTATGCAGCATTGTTCTACCAGGCCAACAGGGCTTTCAACATCCATTCTGGCTGAAGGAGCCTGAAAAAGGTAGGAACCCCTCTACCGTATGTATTAGAAAGAAGAGTAGTATTTTCTCGGTGATAAAGATGGAAGACATTGCAACTCCATTCTTTTTCAAAGCTCCCTATTTCCCCCACCTCTGGAGATCATGTTGTATTAAATTTAAGGTTTTAAGTGTCTGCACTTCACATCTTCTCATCCTGAAACAGTGCTCTCAGCAAATATTTCTAATTAAGGAATTAATACCTCATATTAATAAAAAATCTTCCATCTTTTTAATTAGGTAGTAGTAGTTTAACAACATGATAAAAAAGCAGACTATAAACAATTAGGAAAAATAATTAGCCTTACTGTAGTGTGTCGTCTGGGTATGTATTTTATTAAGAAATAAAAACAAATACTAAAAATCAAATACTAAATACTCAGAGAATTATCATGCCTTAGATAATGAAAATTAGTCATATGAACTAAGACTGATCACAAGAAATTAGGATGAATTCCAAGTGCATGGTATTAAATACAGTAAGAAGTGAACTACTGGGAAAATCCAGCAATAAAAATTGATTAATAGAAATGACCTGCTATGCAATGATCTCATAACTGAGTTACAAAACCACTTCCCATCTGCATAATCCTGAAATAACTGAAGACCAGCAGTCATTTTTCTGGTCAGTTTGGTTCAATAGATCCATCTTCTTGGCAGTCTTCTTAGAAGACATTTTTCTTCCATTTTCACAACAGAACATGTTTGTTTTTTTTAAGAATGATGATACTGATGGTGCAACAAAGCAGCCTGAGACTGGTGAGACCCAAGAAAGTGTTAGAAACAGCTGTTCTAGAGAAGAGTTGGTTGTAGGACACAACAAAGAGACGGCTGACCTAGAAAGCAGAAACAAGCCACTAGGTCTTGGAGCAGGATTGCAACTGATAGCCCCTGCACAGCTATTCACTGCAGAGTAACTCTCTCTCTCTCTCTCTCTCTTTCTCCCTTTAGGGATACAGTTTAAACAAGAAAATGGCAACTGACACTGTAAAATTATAGTAGAAAATAACAGCAGAACACTGATGTAAACTGGAATCAATAAAAAGCAGGCTTGCTTCAAAGCTTTATGTTCTGTGTGCAGTATGTTTTATAGATTATGAAATAAATTATTTCTGATAAGGAAAAAAATAGGGAACATCCCATAAGTAGCCACATTAAGTGCAAACATAATAATAGAAATCATGACAGTAAGAACAGTGAGGATAATAACATCACTTTTATCAGGAACAGTAAAACCAAGAACAAGATTAATTCTTACCTGAAATGGCAAAGCCACTGAAGCCTACTGCTAACACCAGAAAGGAAATGGCCACTCCTTTTGTATGAGAGTAACCAACCACCAAAAGTAAGGTTGCTTCCATCCCAAAGCCTTGAAATGAAACACATGAAAATGAATTACGTTTAAATTACTATTGGTCATGGAGATGCTAATAAGGACTATCCAGAATAGAAGCTTAAAGTGAGACAAAATTCTTTTGTATCTTATAGCTATTCTTAAACATACTTGGGAACTTTCTGGATTTGCAGGAATATTTGTATATTTACTGTCTGAAGATATACTTTTTTTTACTCCTTGTTCATTGCTGTGTAAATGACCCAAGCAATTGGTGAAGTTAATTCACTGAACAGTATAGGAAAACAATGAGAAAGTGGCTCTGTGCAAAGGGAAGAAAAATTTATAACCAAAAAGCATTATAGGGAAAGGAGAAAAACATTTGCCTTCAATATCTAATGGTTGTAGTGATGCAAGATGTTCTTGGTAAATGGAACAAAAGAGTGCTTTACATGCAAGTGTGCTACCGACACCATAGGATGTTCCTGGGCATCACAGGGCACTTTTAGTCTTTGCTATTACTGCGAATTAATATTTTCTATTATGTAACAGTACAATCCTTCTGGTTTGTTTTTTTTAATGATGCTATTAATATGCCCTGAAAATTCAGTGAATTTGAGCATCCTTTGTGAAGATGCATAGCAAGGTGCGTGGTGTCTCTGACTGCAGCCATCTCTGTTTCTAGCAGCCCCTACCATCTATAAATAACATAAGCCAGCAATTGGCAGTGGATAACTAACTGTGCCACAGGCTATCTGGCTTGAAATATTTTCTTTAATTAAGTATCAACCTTACAGGTTGATGTCACTGATTTTGCAGTTCAGTGACTGAATCAGAAACAAATTACTTTGTGCTGAGTAAAAATGAGCCTATCCATCCTTCAACTATTTTTTCTCCTAAGCCTTCCAGCTTAAACTTGCCAGTGAGTTCTGCTGAAAGTATCAAATGGGAGCATTGCCAGTTATTACAAGACTATATCCACGGGAAAGCGTCTCTCCAGCACCATGGTACAGGGTTAACTTTGTATGAGTTTGCTGTATGAGGCCTATTTGACCATACTACTCTATTGCCCTTTCAATTATTAACTAGACTTCTTGCCTCCTATCTTTTAAAAAGTATGTTCATATGAGTAAGGATTTATGCCATGAGACATTAGCTCTCCATTTAATGCTTCAGATTAACCAGCTGTAAATGCAACCTTGAATAAATCATCTCAATACAATTAAACATGAACTAAACTATTATACTTGCAGCATACAATTGCAGCATACAATTGAAATACCGTATTTTCAGAGCCCAATAGTACCTCCACAGTTCATGACCTTCCTTACAGTGGTGGTGGTTAAGATCTTCCTGCTCCGTAGGAAGTCAGCTAGCTGCCCTCCGATGGGTACGATGATTGTCATGACCATGTGAGGAACTGCTGACAAAAGGCCAACCTGCAATTAGGCAAATAACTGCTTACTGCTCACATCCTCCTTCAAGGTTTAGGGGGAAGAGAACAGGAACCAGAACTTTCCTTCACCTCTGTCCACCTTGCCACCATTTGATACTTTTTTATCCTAGATTCTTGTGTGGAAGGTTTGCAGACAGGTCCAATAGGAACTGCAGCTAAGACCTGTGTGACCTTAAGCTACCTTTAACCCATCTTTAGAGAATTCTAGGAGCTTGAGAGACTCCAGCAAACTTTTGTCCAGGTAATAGCAGCTTTTCTCCCAGGCCTTCTCATTAATGGCAGTATATGAGCCACAGCATGGTTGACCAGAGCCTACGGCACTAGTGAAGTGGAAAGAGCCTGGGCACCTTCAGTCATTTTTTTGGGGCTAACCTGGTGGTTTTCCTTCCTTCCTCCCTTCCTCCCTCCCTCTCTCCCTGAAGGACTGAAGCACAGGTAGGGTTTTTTCTCTGTTCCTATTTATTTCCTGACAGTAGACGACTGCTGCGTATTTGTACATATTCAAGAGGCAGGGGGAAGAGGCAAAAGATATATTAAAGAGTAAAAAGAGAATTTGATCTAAAAAGTCTGATTCTGATGCTCTGATGGAGTTTTTCCTCTCTCCAACAGCCAACGAAGGAGCACAAGAAAACTGCTCTAATTTATCTGATTAGAGGAGATGCCAAAAGTTGGGTAATGGAAGAAACACCTCCTTATGGCCCAGGAGGAGAAACCAGAGCACAGATGAGAATCTCCCCTTAGAAAAATCATCAATATACCTAGTCTTCCATGGTTACTCTAAAGAGTTGCTTAGAAGACTGCTTATATTAAATTCTATTGTAGATATCACAAAGCCCTGTCTTAACTGTCCTGATACTGGAGTGTTCTATCTTGGTTTTCAACTGCTTTTATGTATTTTTGTTATTCAGGTTCTCAAGGAGCTCCTTTCTGAATAACAAGTCTATCCCCATCACCTGCCACTGTGTACAGGAAGGAAACGCCTACACATTGTATATGGACTGAAGACAGTGCAGCATAAAACCTGACATTATCATATAATTTTACAAATTATTAAATAAGCATATGTGTAAAGGTATGTATGCATTTTTATTCTTGTGGGATTACAGCCTACAAACTAATGTTCATCTGTAGATTTCCATAGAATCCCAGAATCACAGAGTAATTGAGGTTGGAAGGAGCCTCAGTGGGTCATCTTCTTCAATTCCTGTCCAGACAGCTTCTGAATGTCTCCAGGGATGAAGATTCCACAACTTCTCTGAGCAACCTGTGCAGTGTTGTCACCCTCATAGTATAAAAGTTTTTCCTGATGTTCAGAGGGAAACTCCCATGTTTCAGTTTGTGCCCATTGTCTCTTGACCTGTGACTAGGCACTAAACTAGAGCCTAGTTTCATCTTCTTTACACTGTCCCTTCGGATATTTTCACATATTGATGAGAATCCTGCTAAGCCTTTTCTTCTCCAGGCTAAAAAGTTCCAGCTCTCTTAGCCTTTCTTCATAGGAGAAATGTTCCCATTCCTTAATCATCTTCATGGCCCTTCACTGAATTTTCTCCAGTATGTCCATGGTTCTCTTGTACTGGGGAGGTCAGAACTGGACACAGTACTTCAAGTGTGGCCTCACCAGTGCTGTGTAGAGGGTAAAGGTCACCTCCCTTTTCCTGCTGATCTTTCCATAATGCATCCCAGGATAACACTGGTCTTTACTGGGAGGGAACATTGCTGGCTCACATCCAACCTGGTATCCAGCAGGACCGCAAGGTCCTTTTGTGCTAAGTTGCTTTCCAGTTGGGCAGACCCCAGCATGAAATTGTTTCTCCCCAGATGCAGGATTTTGCTCTTTCCCTTATTGCATGAGGTTCCTGTCAGCCCATTTCCCCAGTCTGCAAAGTTCCTCTGTATGGCAGCACAACCCTGTAGCCTATCAGACACTCCTTCTAGTTTTGTACCATCTGCAGACTTGCTGAGGGCACACTCTTCCCCATCATCCAGATCATTAATGAAGATGTCAAACAGGATCAGACTCAGTATGTCCCTCAGGCTACTGAGTTTTAGTGGTCAGCATCTCATCTTCTAGAAGCTTTTCCTTGAAGCAGTAATTTAGTGAGAAGTTTGAGTTTACTTTCTAGAGTGCACAACCTCATTATATTGACAGTCAGTCAGTTTTATGTTGGTTTTAAATTAGTGAGGTACAGAGGGGTGCAACTCTAGCATTAATGAAAAGCAGCTCAGAATAAATAAATCTAATTTTTCTTATATCCCTGATATTCATCTGTATGTTGTACTTGGCCATTCAGAGTGTCATTGCTATCATGTCATAACTTGGAAACACTGTGCTCCCACAGCAAATAAATAATGATGATCTTTGCTATCATTATCAGTCATACAGTTGCTTGAAAATAATTACCACATATAGCAAGTAGTTTGTTAAAGTAATGGGTTTTTTAAAGGGAAAACCTTTCTGAAACAATTATTCTGAATTCCTCATTCATGTTTTGAAGAGAGACTGTGACAATCCTGATTTTAATGAAGTGGTGGTGGCAAAAAATGCTTGGAATAATCTACTGGACTTATCTGATTTCTCCTCAAACAATCTGCATAGAATCATAGAAACATTATGGTTGGAAAAGACCTCCAAGATAATCGAGTCCCAGCTTTTGACCAAACATCACCATGCCAACCAAACCATAGTTCTACATTTTAAGTGCCATGTCCATTCACATCTTGAACACTTCCCGGGGTGATGATTCCACCTCCTCCCTGGGCAGCTCATTCCAATGCTTAACCACCCTTTCAGTGAAGAATTCTTCCTGATTTTCAACCTGAGCCTCCCCTGGTGCATCTCCTAGGGTGAGGTCTGAAGGTCACAGCTTCATCCCACACATTTACCTTGCTTATTGCAAATCCAAAGACTTCTTCAAAGTAAGCAGGCTGACTTATAAGGAGCAAATAGAAGGTCCAGCTTCTGCAGAAGTTTGCCACAATGATTGCATAAACTGGCATTGAAGTGAAAAATCTCTTCCACGGAGTACTAAATTTCTAGGGAAAAAAAAAACAAAACACACAAAAATTGAGTAGACAGAGGCAGAATAAAGGACTCATTTTTTTTTGATCAGGCCTATCAAGTACGTTGCATGCAACTTACATTGCAGATCACTTAGAATGCAAGCAAAATATACCTCTTGAATTAATGGCAAAAAACAGGTAGTGAAATTTTCTTAGAATAGTTGAGATTTTTAAGATGAATCCTGCACCACTATTGCCCTGCTTACTGAAATTACATGAGGTCTTCTGGAATCCTGCTATTAGGATAACAGGATCAGTAATAGAAAAGTAGAGAAAACCTTGTGTTGTTCCCCCCTTTTGGCATTACATAATTTGAGACATTCTCCTGAAAGCAGTGTGAAAAAAGTGTTATCCATGCTAGGAGACATACAGTGGCACAGCAACAAGCAGCTACCTGCTTCAACTTAATTTAGTTCAGAAAAAAAAGGCTTATGGTAGACAATTTAATTTCTGTAACTTGCTTTTGGCATTTTCAGTTTCTATATTTGTTCCAGTACTCCATATATGAGGAATAAAACACACTTCAGAGAACTATTCATTTGCAATAGAATTCAAATCAGAAGGTGAAATATGTAGCTATGGCAACATATATTGACATTCTCCTTTTTAAAAATAAAGCTGTGTTCTACAGGCAGCCATACACCTGCACTTGTGTGTACCACCACATGAAGGTGGTACTAGTGTCCTTTGCTTTAAAACCACCATACAGCAAGGAAAATCCATGATCTGGAAAAACGATGTGTGTCTCCAGCCAAGACCTGATTGAATTCAGCCAAACCTCAGGAGCATGCTCAAAAGCAGAGCCTAGTATTTTACTTCAGAGTTACTTTGTTCCAGAATGTTCAAGACTAAAAGCCAAGAAAGAACAGTTTATCAAGAAACACCGTTGGTTTTCACCACTAGCAAAAATAAGTTACCTCAGGGAAAGGAGACAAGTTTGATGGAAAAATAGATTTTAGCTCAAAGTTTCCAGGATCTTCCAGGATCTTCTCAGTGAGAGGATAAGGAGCCTTACGGAAGGACCTGAGCTGGTGTGAGAGTGAGCAGGGCAGAAAACCTGTCCTTAAACTTTTAGATTTGCAATCATCCTTAAGAAGAGTTCAAAAGGCAGATGGATAAATTAACATCTGCAGCCAGGTTTCTTATTTAGTTAAATCTATTATTGTATTTTAGAACAAGCATGACAGTTACTCAAGAGCAGGAGACCAGAATTTATGTTTCTTCCCTCCCTAGATCAGGGAAGCTCTATGAGCCATGGGCTGAAACAGCATTATGTGTTTTCCTTTTGCTGTACTCATCCTCTCCAGCTGCATGAACCTGATCCTGTAATGTTCATAAAAGGAAAAGCCCCTAAACATCAACAGAAACTAGTTCTGCCACTCTTACTCAGCTAAAAGTATCCATCCAGTCTTATGCTTATCTTGTACAAAGTGCTCACAAATTATAATAAGAAAAGCATTTTTTTACTTACACTTGCATTAGCCAGGCTAGCTCCTTCTCCTATACTTGTTTCTATATATATTCTTTCTTCGTTGCTTATTGTTGGATGTGCAGCAGGACTCTCATAGGCATGAAGCAACCAGAACATGTACCAAACAATCCCAAACATTCCTGCAGAGGCCAGAATAGCAAAGCTTGATTTTAAAAGCCAATAAAGCCTTCAGTATCTGCAAGTCTTGAAGTTTGTTCCAAGAGTCAATTAAACCAAACCTGCACAGAAATTATGCCCAGAGAAGTAACAAAGTACTTTCCCTAACTCTATGTGTATTGTAAACCTGATTGCAAAGCATTTGAGTATTTTGTTGCTTGTACTACGTTATGCATGGGACAGAGGAAAGGCAGAAGGAAAGCTCTGTGTAGAACCAGGGGAAGGAAAAAAGCAGACAGGCCATAACCTGATCAAAATCTGCATAAAGGGATTTCACAATCAGATGGTGATGGCAAATCTTGTGGTGTGTCCTGTATCTCCAGAGAAAACAGAGAAAACCTGTCTTAACTGGGTCGCTGATGTGCAAGGCTAGGTTGGAGACAGCTCTGCTGCATACTGGGTGGACGGGGGGAAGAGGCACAACAGATCAGCACTAAGGCCATACGTGTGTAGTGGGAGACCACTTTGTAAAGGTGGTGTTGTTTTCTTGAAGATGGGCAGCGCAGGGAAGATTTCTTGGGGCAGAAGTTTTCAGAGACATTTGGCTCCCCATCAGCAGCAAAAGCTCTAGCATTCACTGCTAGTGTGCGTCTGGGGCAGATACCACACAAGTGTTTGTGCTACAGAGGAGCCTCTGCAACTGCATCCAGCCCTGCCACTGGGTGACCATGAGCTGTAGCCTGATCAATTTTTAAAATTTTACAACCTTTTGTAACAGATGATTGCAAAATGAAAGCTCTCAGAATCTGCAGTATGTAGAGACTAAACTGGAATACCCATTTGCAACCTTTTCATTCATCAAAACAACTCTGATCCATACTTGTTAGGCAGGTTTAAGTAAACAGCTGGCACTACCAGTTTAGTGGCAGAGGTCCTTCATGTTAAACAACTCACCATAAATATAGAAGACAGATGACCATCCTATATACTGTACCAGCACACCCGCCAGTGGCATGGCAACCACTGCACCTGCATAAGACCCTGAGGAGAAAATGGATTAGTGAAACATGTCAGTCATGATAGGTGTGCCCAGCTTTCAGAGCAGATGATCCAGACAGGTGCTTATGGAGGAAGAACCAGAGGGACAAGTTCGGCCGACTTTTTATGAACATGGAGAATGGGATGGAAGCTCCAAAATTTTGCTTGGGGTGGTGGGAAGGACTGACTCTTGTTGGTGTGAGATATCCAGTCTCATTTTGCAGTTAGAAGGGTTGTGCCCTGTAGGTAAATAGGATCTGCACATCCAAGATTGATGACAAACCATTACAAAGGCATAAGCTGTATGTATGCACTCAAGTGGGAAATCCCACATAACCCCATGGTACATGAGGTGAGTTTTGGAGAAATTAATGACCCAAGTTTTGGAAGTCTTCCTTGGTGCCAAGGAATCCTGATGATTGCAGATATTCAGGGAGGCTCTTGTCATGGCTCTAGATCTATCACCACACGGGGCCTAGCAGTGGAAAGAGTGTTCAAACAAAACCTGAGTCCGTGTAGCCATGTTTAGTTCATAACAGAGGCATAAACAAACAGCTCGAATAAATAGGCAAATGTTGACAGAAAAAGAAAGCATAAAAACATGATCTGTGCCAAGATTTCTGATTGGGAAATATACAATAATGGTGAAATATATTTCCAAGTGACTTGTAGAAAGAGATGAGTATTTAAGTGCAGTCTAGACATCAGGTTTCAGTGCAAGGTGGTACCAGTGGTTTCACAAGTGAAGAGTGTTGCTTTGAATTATTCTAGGAAATGAGAAACTTGTGGTTTTGAGAGTATTACATAGTTAATTAATAAACACTTGTTAATAATCTACTCATTAGCAGATACTTCTCTGCAATGGTTCAAATGATCCTTCCCTCTCATCTCCACGCAATTCATTTTTCCTACAGCAATAGAAAAGCCCCAGGCCAGAATGTAGATAGAGACACTGGGAACCTGGTTAATATGGAATTAAATAATTTTTCCATTGTTACTATGCACCTTTCAAGTGCAAAACTCAGGGATCTCTAGCCACTAAAATGCCTGAGCTGAAGGATGGATCTTTCTCTATCTTTCAAGGAGAGAGCATTGATGGTTGAGAGACTTCTTTTGATCTGTTCTTCTGCAAAAAATGGAAACACCTAAATAATCACTAAATCCTGAAGTAATTTGTAACAAAAATAAAATTCCCATAATATACAAACATAGGATTTTTCCTTTTGCTTCACTTCTCCTTTTCTCCTTTATCTTGTTTTTCAATGCTGTATTTTCCCTAGCCTTTCAACTCCACTGCTGATGGACAGAATTTTTTTCCTATGACTTTCACATTTTCTATTGAACATTTTCTCCTACAGACATTCATCTTCAGCTGTCAGCATTGGAAAGGGACTCAGAGAAAAGGCCAAAGTATGTGTTTGACCATAACTCAAAAGACAATGAAGCAAAACAGCTACTGGCAAGAAGTTACATCATCTCCACTGCAATATATTGAGAAGCCAGCCTAAAGTTCTTTTAAGATAATATTTGAGTGTGTGTTTGTTTAGGAGCATCCATTCAGTATGTATAATAAATGGAATGCCTAAGGATGGAGCAGATAAAAAAAATACAGTGTAATTTCTTTCATGTGACACCTCTAGACCCATTTTAGTTTACTATGAGAGCCATTATGAGTGTTGGCTTCAAATGATAAAATGGTGACATATGAAACAAGGACTCTCAGGTTCCTGAGCTTAGAGTACAAGCCACTTTTAGGAAAAGGTAGTGGGTTTGCATTTCTCTTTAAACTAATGAAATTAATGAAATAAATCCAGTAGGAATATATACGTACACAAACCACATAAGCTATCAACTTACCACAGAATGATGTGGTAGCCAACCTGCTCCTCTCCAGCGGCGGAGCCCATTTACTCCACATCCCATGGCAGGCTGGGTAGGTGACACCCTGGCAGACATTTCACAGATCATATGATTTGTTTTCACTGCATTCTACTTGAAATATTGCAAAATCACAGAATATCCTGAGTTGGAAGGGACCCACAAGGATCATCAAGTCCAACTCTTTGCCCTGCACAAGACCATACCCAAGAGTCACACCATGTGCCTAAGGGTAAAGTAGTTGCTCATACTATCCATACTGTCCAGCTGTTTGCCATCATGGAATGATGTAGGAAGGGTTAGATAAGTCTGGAAGAGTTCAGTTGTTAGGGTATGAAGATGTCAAACTGATCTTGATTACTTTGTACTTCAATAGTAATATATTCTGAGGTAAAAGTGCTGTTTAGCATATGCAGTGGATGGCACAAGTAAACTAAAATAGATCAAACTGCAGCACCAGAAACAAATTTTTCTTCACTTGTAAGTAAACTTAAAGATATAAATCAGCATGATTAAAAAAATTATCATCTAAAAATGAGTGGCAAGGTAAACTGTAGATTGATCAGAAAGCTTGATCAAAAAGATCTTACAATTTTTTAGAACCAAATCTCAAAAAACAAACCATGTTTGAAAGGATCAAAATGGTGAGTGCTCCTACCTCCACCAGACCTTGAAGAATCCTGACAAACATCACACAGCCATAATGCACTCTTGCTGCAGAAGGGATGATCATGTTCAATGTAGATGTTAGAAAGATAGCTGCTCCAAATACCCTGTGGGGAAAAGTACCATGAAAGGGAATAAAATTATTGTCCATTTTTCAGAATTGACACTGTTTTCAGTTACAGTTGCAGAGACAATTGCACTTACCACCATCTCAGCAACCCAAATACTTGTGAATTCCCCTTATTGTCAAAAGGGGATAAATACTCAGATGGTCTATACATTTTCTTCTCTGAATGGAACAGAATTTTTGTACCTGCTCAAACAAAGGTGCTGGACTTTATTTATGTCAAGAGGATTAGATATGGATGTGGGTACTGGAGTCCTGGAGATACTGTTTATATGAATCCTGACCTGAGAGAAGTATTGCTAGGAAGCAGCAGGAAGTACTTAAATTCCGTTATAACAAGAGGGTTTAACTTAAATTAGGTAAGACCTGGTTTAAGTGCCTCTGTGAACATGGGAGTGAGCTGGTTAGTTCCACTTGCCGCTGCTGGAGTGTGTAACAGGGCTGCTTAAGATCAGTTCCTTTCCAACATCAGTTCTCTAAATAACAGCTACAAATGTCGTTTATGACTATGACATAGAAGGGACATTTCTACAAGACAAATTCTGGGAAAAACGTAATATAAACATTTTGTTACTCTGCTTGGGAAGAGTGCTTGCTGCAGCTGGGCACAAGTCACTTGAGGATTTAAATGTACCTGGGCCTCAGTGCCTTTGTGAAATCATTTGCAGCCTCCCAGAGGTCAGCATGTTAGAGAAACAGGCAGCAGATACCTCTGTGTAACAGTAATGGATGCAAACAGCAGTCCTGAAAGTACAGGCTACTCAGAGGCCCTAGGGTAGCACTCAAAGCTGTGTCTGCTGCACTCACCACAGTCTGTGGGAGCTTTTCCCAACACGGACATGGACTTTCCTGTATTTAACTGAAGACAGGTGCACACTTAGTGCCCAGTGTCAACAATAAACAACAGTGACACTAGACAGGGAAGACAGCTGGGCTACAAGGCAGTTGTTTCAGTGTGGCATAGGCTCTGGGTTTGTCAGGCACTGATGCTGCAATGCAAGGGAAGAGTATCCCTGGATTCCCAGCTTGTGCCTGGAAAGGACGTCTGGAAGTTCATTTGAAAACTGAGACTGCTGCATCATGAAAAACATCATTGGAAACCAAGAAATGGGCTGGGAAAAACCAGCTGGAACCGTCACTGAAATGACTACCAGTAGAAGGAATGAGCTGTACTTGCTTGATTAGATTTCACATATCTTCACATCTGGCTGAGTGAAGCCTCAGGTTTCCTTTCTGTGCAATGAATGGGGTTCATTCAATAGCTGTGTCATGAACGCTCTGAACATTAGGAGTTCATTACTACAACATCTGTGGAAGTTTATATACATGAAGATCCCCTCTGAGATCCTGTTATAGCACTGAAAAATATCAGAACTGGCAGAATTCTCCACAATTGCCAAGCACCATTGAAATTGAATGGATTACTACTAATCTTCAGTAGTTTACTGTCTTCTTTGTGTTGCCTGCAACTGCAAGCAGCCATGCCTGGATCCCTGTGGACAGCCTTTGTATGGGAGACTTTTCTTTCTGCAGCTAGAAAGTTGCAGACCACAGCACAAGGACATGGGACATCAACCCAAAGCTGCCCTGCCTTGCTCCAAGACTCAAGGTGACACCCTGGGAATAAAGCAGCCTCTTCTGTTCAGGGCCCCCAATTCCTAGCAACACTGATGTTAGCTACCAGCATGCTGCTGTTTGAGAACTGTAATTCATGTTTGTTTTTCAGACCACTCGAATTCAGTGACATTTGATAGGCTTTGAATTGTCTTATTATGTGTGTGGCATTTCAGGAAGACAAGTTAAGCTTCATTGTGATATATGAATCATATTAGACAGATATTTGATCAGAAATTGTGGTTTGGACAACAGTAGTATTTATCTCCATTTTGATTTTTTCTGGCAAAGACATAAACAGATCTTATTACAGATAGCTGTTTATCACGTTCCACTTAAAAATATTTATAGACTTTTAAAACTTTTTGTTGCAATTCTTTTTTTTTTTTTCTTTTTTTTTTTTTTTTTTTTTTTTTTTTTTTTTTTTTTTTTTTTTTTTTTTTTTTTTTTTTTTTTTTTTTTTTTTAATAAGGATTTCAATTGTTTGCCTTTCAGTCTCTTTTTGAAAACTTATTCACAGGAAATATATGTGACTTCATTTTTGTGTCTGGTCTTAGTATTTACTGTAGGATTAACGGTACTATTATAGTGTGAAAAATCTACAGTCAGAGATCAACACTGTTTTATCTAAATTCTCTACAGCTATTGACAAAACCAACTCATTATCTGAGTGACAAGAAAGCACTAAACAGATGAGTGCGATAGCAAAGAGGCTGAGTAGGCTGGCAGAGAGAAGTGACAAGGGAACCGATCTACATAGAAACCAGTCTGAAAATATGACTAGAATAAAAAGGCCACAGTCATATCTTGACATTTAGAAGACTGCTTTCAAAACCAAGTAAACATTTAACTGAGAAATAAGTATTACTTATCTATTATGATCAGTGAAGAAAAGACTTTTGCAACTTGCTTTCTTACCACTAATAGAAATATCAAGTCTATTATCATAATGCTATTGACTCATGGAACTACAGCAAATCATGTAAATTAATACACAAATGAAAGAATAAACTGTGAGAAATAGAATGTGTTTAATTATCCAAACAGGTAGCTCTAAAGATTGAGTGTCCAATCTCTGCTACTTCTTTTTTTAACACCAGCTCTTAATGTGCCTTGATTATAAATGCATCATTTACACTGAGTTTGAACCAGTCACTCTTCTGCTACTATTTAAAAGGTTGAGTATTTTTTCCACAAAAAGGCAGCAACTTTTCAGCAGTTCACTGCCATTTGTCCCAAAGAAGTTGGTCTCCACCTTGACTAAAAATATTCCAGTTTCTTTTCAATTCATTCACGTATTCTTCTCTCCTCATTACCATGATCCTCAGGCAGCTGCCTCTTTGGGATCAAAATGGACCTTTTCAGCAACAGACTCCTCTGCCCAGCAGAGTGCTCTTACTGAACGCTGATATCAAGAGGTGCCTTGTGTTTCATATATACACCAAACAATGATGAAATTGCATTTAGAAGCACATTTGAGGATAAGCAGCAAGTCAAAGGGATGGTGTCACTGAATGGTTTATGAACTTTTTGGTGGAATGCTAACCTACGTCAGTTTGTATGAATGTATAGAGCAAATTACATAGTGTTAGATGGTTTTACTGTAAAACCATAAAGTACTCAATATTTTCAGCTGTTCTGAGATCCATTTGAATCCCACATTTATTACAGATAATTATGTACAATAGAGAATTGCCCAGGGTGGAGGCGTCCATGTATGTTCAAGGTTGCACAGCTTAAACAAGTGGCAAAAGAGCCTTTTACCTAAATCTGTAGTAGGTCAGTAGTAGGATAGAATCTCATTTCCAGAGGTACAGATGATACAAAAGACAGCATTTGTCTTTCCAGGGGTGGTGGGTTCCCTGGCCCCAAAACTCCTGGTTTCCTATCCTGTGTCTTAGCAACTGACCCCTCTGAAACAACAATCACTGGTGAATCTACCTAAGCTGAAATTGCTTTATAAGAAATAAAGGAAAAACATGGAGTTAGCCAGACCTGTGAATCCTATTACTGCAAGAAGAAATTCTCTTCGAGCTCATCTTTTGAGCCATTTTTTTCCTCAGCAAATTCTATTCCTAAATCCAGTTATAACAATCAAATCTGTAATGTAATATTGGAGTGAAGCATTACATGGAGTTGGAAACATGCACTTAAGTAAGTAGTCTGCTGACAGAATACGTTGCCTTACAGTGTAAACATGGTTAATTTTACTGTTCGCAAGTAAATTAAGGAAAGAAAAGCCAAACTAATAATATGCTGAATTATTCAGCCAACAGTGTGCACATCTGTGTTTTGGAGCCCTTCTGCTGCAAAAGCTGGTGGCAAGACTAGGAAGGCTGGGGAAATGATTAAGCTTAGCTAATTTGCTTGTCTTATTCGGCAGATGGAAAAATACTCTGCTTAGGCAGTGTTACGTGGTAGAGAAATGAATAATTGAGGATGCTGACAGTGTTGAAGAAGCAGTGCAAACTGAACTCTGAGTAACTTTTGGTTATGGACAGAGGGGATTTGGGACTGAACAGTTTGGGCAATTCTATGGGATGACTCTGTTCTCGATTAATCTCTGCAAAGACGTATGATGGGAAGAACATTCAGGCAGTCTTGCAACCTCTATAGCTCTTTTCAGAATGCAGTGAGCAAAGCACTTTGATTTGGAGCAAAACAACATATAAATGGTGCTAAACACTTTTCCAATTCTGACAGTGTTTTTAGCTAAATCACATCTTGTTTGCAGAGAACGAAATTAGTACCAATCATCTTGTTTTTTTAATCCAAAAATCCCAAATGTCCAGAACATGCACATCCCATGAGCTCATTCACAACCAGCTCTCTTCAGACAACTTCCCTCTCTCTTCTGAGAGATCATGTTCCAAGTTCTGAAGGCTTTTTGAAGTAAAGCCCAAAACCAAAGTTACTGTTGACAAAATTAGCCACTTTTCCCACTCACATTTTCTAAAGCAATTGAATTAAAAAAAAAAATAAAGAAAATCAGCCGACAAACACACTGATCATAAAAGAAATCTGTATAGATGCGCAAAGGTCACCAAACAGGAAACAGAAGGCTCTATTACAAGTCCTATGCAATCCTAATTACAGTCAGTATTGGATCCAGCCATGGCCAGGCTATTTGTGTGCACTAGGATAAATTTGTGACTTCAGAACATAAATAACTCTGTAATTCCTTCATGCCTAGCTTCAGTCCACATGGAATTTTTGAAGCAGAAAGGTCAAATTTTGTTGGAAAATTCTTGTTTGGTGCTAAGTCAAGATAAAAGGCACTAAAACAATTTCAAAAAGACAAATGTTACAACCACTGAAACACATTAATTCACTGTTTTGCTAATCATCATTTAAACAGAAGTATAAAACAGTCATCAGGCTCTAAAGCTTAATTCTTTTGCTTATTTTTTTCTTACCTGTTAGCAGCCAGTTTGTTTGCAATGAACCCTCCTGGAATTTGTGTCACAATGTAACCCCAGAAAAAAGAGCCATGAATGAGTCCCACGGTCTCTGGATCCCAGTTGAATTGGGCTGTCTTTAAAGGAAATGGGGAAAATGCTGTAAAATGAAGCATACTCATTGGAAGATAACTATTGTTTAGAAGTTACACAGAAGTCACACCATCCTCCAAATCAAGGCAGCCTCTTTAATCTAGCTGCTTGGGGTTGCTGAGCTTGAAACCCCCAGTTAAGGCAGAAAGATATCTGGTTTCCATGTGAGATTGCTGATTTTTTTTCCTAGCTTTCAGTTAAGTGGATAAGAGGGGTGAAAAATTTCAGCCAGAATGTAGTTAACGCTGGACCTTCATCTTTACCACTTGCCACTGCTTGCACCTGGGCCACTTCATCCTGAAACCTTTGCTTTTGAGCCTGCTCTGAGTCATAAGAAGGACCTGAAGCCTTTCAATGGTACCTCATTAGGTATTATAGTGCCATTCACTCTCCCTGCTTTTGAGATGAAAATAACAGTGACCAAGTGTGGCAAACTGGTAATTCATGTTTGTCACTGTTCTGGCACGTGAGCTCCCGAGCTTGTTGTTCTTCACTTCTTTCCCTCTAGTGAACTGCCTTGTGCTCCAACACCTTGTTACCAAGGAGTCACAGAATCTCTCAGCCCTGGGATGACTTGCCTTTCCTGGTCACTCCAGTCACACTCCAATGGCAAATCAGAGCAGGAGGCTGAGATTATGTCCAACCCTGGTGGTCTTGAGCAATTGATCTGGTGGACTGATCATATTGGGAATGTAAGTCAGACCATTATCCCTGTGTGTCAGTGATTCATCCAATACCTGTAGTCTAAGAATCAATACAAACCCTTCCTTATTTCTAGCCCAATGTTATGGCTAGATTTCAATCTATTTTCCCAGTATTATCAAGGTTGCTTAAGTTCTTTGGACTCAGCTCCTGGTCAGGCTTATCCATGGTTCTCCCTGACAGGGCCAAACTCTGACCATCCACAATCAGCACTAAGTGGCATGGGAGCAGAGAAGGTGGGGGGGTGAAAGGCATAAGACCTGAGGACAAGGAAATCTGAAAATAAAACTAGATAACACTAGCTAGTGACTATTTTATCTTTTATTAACAGTGGTTCCAGTTGTAGGGCTAGATTTGGATGCAAAAGACCAGCCATAGGCTGGTTATGGGTGGTTCATAGACAAAAATGCCTGCAGCCAACAGAAACACTTTCACCATCCTCGTCCTTGAATACTAAGTAGTTTCAGTCTTCTCAAAATAAGGATTCCCCTGTTTTGTGATGACTTTGTTTGACATACCTCGTTCAGAAGAGGGATAGCCAAATCCCAGGGCATAACATAGACAAATTGAAGAAAAGGAAGATGGATCCAAGGTGCCCTTCCTGCCCACCATTCTATGAGATCAGAAAGGACCTGGCTCAGTATAAACACCCTACTGTAAGGTCAGTGTCAACTTTTTCTCAATGAGCCCTCAGTTCTGAAGAACTCTTTTCAAGCAATAAAAAACCCCTATGTTTTGCTTCATGATAATTTTCATGCTATCACATGGCAAGGAAAGGTGGCTAAGTAGGATCTGGGGAAGCAGCACAAATGTCTTTTGGATTCAGGATTAAAACTGTCACTAAAATACCACAGAGAAATGACAACTATGGTGATAAACCTTAATATCTCATTTTTTGGTATTACTCCCTGCATGTAAAAAGAACAGGTTTTCCCAGTACATTGATTTTTTTTCTCCCAAACAAACAAACTGAAAAACAGCTCATTGTTTGACCTGCAGGGAGAAAGATGGCATTAATTAGCCAGATAATTCTACGGAGGGCTAAATGTTTTCCCTCCTCATCAACATGCATTTTGACAAGAGACCCACTTTTCTGTGTTCAGCTACACTTCTGTACAAATACCTAATTTTCTGCTGGTGATTTCCAGATGAGTTTCTAGGTAGTGTTAGTTTCTGAAGGCAGAAACACCATGGGACATGGAAAAAGTTTCTGATTCAGGAGATGCTCATGCCCAAACAGTGTAAGTTTAGATTTGTGAAAGGAATTTATCCCAATTTCCTGAGACTACGTCTTCTGAGCCTCCCAACCTATGCAGGCACATCCTGTCTCTTGCTTCAAGAAGTCCCAGCAGGATCACAGGGAGCAGGGGTTATACTGAACAAATACAAATCAAGCAGCAAGTCTAAGCAGGAGCCGGTCAGAGGAAATTGCAGCTGAGGAAGAACTAGAATCATAGAACCATGGAATACCAGGTTAGAAGGCAGATCTCAAGGACTATTTGCTTCATTCTTTCTTGGCAAAAGAAATATAATAATAAATACTGGAGTGTAATGATAAGGCCTCCCCTATGCCTTCTTTTCTCAAGGTGACCAAACCCAGCCCCCTCAGCCTTTCCTCACAGGTCAGGCTTCCCAGTCCTTTATTAATCTTCTCTGGATGCTCTCCAGCCTGTCTACATCTATTTTGTGCAGGAGGGACCAAAACTGAACACAGTATTCCAGCCATGGCCTGACAAAAACTGAGTAGAGTGGCATACTGACTTCTTGATTTCTGCTGGTGATGATCTTGCTGATGCAACCCAGCATCCTTTTGGCTTTCATTACCACAGCAGTACCCTGTCCTCTCAGACTGGTCTTGTTGTCTACCAGGACCCCTAGGTCCCTTTCTACAGAGCTACTCCCCACTAAGAAATTCTTCATTCACTTTGGTAAATCTTTTGGGGGTTTATTGAGTCTGATTAGAAATACTCGGCTTGATAGCTAGGAAGGAGAGAGTAAAACACTGTAGGAGTGGCCATGGAATAATGTGGGAAGGGAAAAAAGATTTATTTTATCACTAGTCCTAGAATCATAAGCATCATCTCTGATCTTTGCAGATCAATAGTCCCTATCATCATGAGTAATGGCGACAGGCATACTTTTAACTTTGGTAATTTACTGTAGATACTTTCTGAACTTTTCTTTACCAAAAGTTAAAATATCTGAGAGAAAAGCTGATGAATAATTGCACAGCATTTCATTCAAGAGTCAATATTCCTGTGAATTTGTTAGGACAAAAATATTCATAAGATATCAAAAGTGAGTCAGCAAGTAGAGCAAATGTAAAGATTAATGTTCATAAAGTCCATTAAGAGACTCGTGACATCACAGCCACATACCAAGGCAGACAGGCAAAACTAAGGTATAGATTGAACCTGCAGTTACTTGGGTGCATTGATAAAGGTATGTAAGCATCTGCTGTGGACCACATGCCATCTACTGCAAATTTGAAGATAGCTTAGTACCGACCTCTGAATCACCTCTAGGCAGCAGTCCACACTGCTAATAACCCAATGCCTTATTCCCAGTGATTGCTTTAAGATCTGGAAAGATATCCACTCATCTGAATAGAGTGGGTGCAACCCTACATAAAACAACTAATAATTCCTTCTGTAGCAGCATCAGAGCATGTTTCCCTGAGAGACAGTAAATAGTAAAAGCTTCTGCCACCACAGCAAAATCTGTCTGCAACTGAAAGATGAGGGACCTGTTAGACATGCAAGCTAATTCAGTTCTCCTTTCTGCTACTTACATCCTCTCTATGACACTGCAAATCCTCAGATTTTAAAGATTTTTAATGTGACTTGATCACATAAATAGGAATTAAGTACCTGCACATCTATGTGAATCGAGATTTATGTATCTCCCTCCCTCAGATTTTTGACATGTGTATACACACCACTTCGTTATGTGGCACTTCAGTGATTTTTGCAGATGGGATCTGCTCAGAAGATGAAAGAAAGATGCTTTCTCACCTGCAGCTCTGGTTTCCCATTGACATAAACGGTGCTATTGTTCACCATTTCCACAATGGCAACACCCAGGTTGCACCTAATTCCGAAAGAGATGCAAAAGCCCAGACCGCTCATTATGGCGATGATGTAGCGCTTGGGTAGCCCACAGCAATAGCATTCACACAGCGCTGGCTTGCGGGTGCTTGCCTGCACGGGCCGTCCCTCTTCTGTCAGCTCAATGTGATCCTCCTCTACATTGATGCCATCGATTTTCCTAAACGGGTGAAGAAAGAAAAATTGAAGATGCCTTATTGTCTCAGTAAAATTTGCTGAAATGTAGATTGACAGTTACGTGCTCCTGTCACCTGCTAACTCATCCCTTTGTGAGGCGCTTGTCTCTTGGTGGTATGATGGGTTAGTGCTGGGCAGGCTGTGAAAGGCTACCAGAGACTACACTTTTTCATGAATGACCTCTGAAGTTTGTAAATCTGAGCCATCTAGCCAGACAGCTAGCTGGAAAAGTGTTCACAGGCTATTCATGAGCATAACTATGAGAACTAAACGGATGTCTGCTGTGATAAATTCCACCAGTTCTTAGGCAAGTATACATATGACATTAACCACAATTTTGTAATTAGATCTACTAAGCACATCTCCTGATAGATTTCAAGAAAAGGGTAAATACAACACAAATAATGGATTTGCTCAACCCAAAACTCCTTGGAATTTCTTTTCTTCAATGAGACTAAAATCAAGGCTGTCCTGCAGAGGAAAACAGTCTCTGGTATCAGAGCCCCCACTTAAGACCTGGAAGAGACAGGTCCAGACTTTCTCTTCCCAAAGGGATTTGAAGCCACTTGTTCACCCTTCTCTGAAACATCTCTCTCACCACAAGGACTTAGGCCACTGTATAGTGAATCCATGCAACTCCTATTGTTGAACATATTGCCCTTTGTGTAAAATATTTACTGTTAAATGAGATCTGAAGGAAGACAGGGAATTTCTGGGCTGTTGATTCACCATTTCTCAGCAGTCAGTGCTGAAAGGGTTTTGCCTGGGATCAAATTTGGTGTGGCAACTGCAGTGCAGCTGGGAGGAACTGGGAGGGGAGGTGCCAGGGCTCAAAGCTCTCCCATTTACTCAGGATAGGAGCAAATGACACCCAGCTATAAAAGCCTGTGAGAGGTTGCCCACCAGCTACTAACATAGGAGTGCAGCTCCTCCAGCTTTGCTTACCCAGCCTTTACTAGTCCTACAAGCAATGTAGCTGAGAGGTTCATATTAAAAAAAAAAAAAAAAAAAAAAAAAAAAAAAAAAAAAAAAAAAAAAAAAAAAAAAAAAAAAAAAAAAAAAAAAAAAAAAAAAAAAAAAAAAAAAGGTGTTTCCATGGAATTTGGAATTGCATGATAGTGCAATTAAAAATTAATTTGGTCTCCCAGTCTGATGAGGGTTATTAATATCATGTTGCAGGGACTGTGGAAAGTCTCTAGTAGAAAAGGTGAGGTGCAAAAGAACTAAACAAATACCCTCCAGACCAGAGCTAGATAATTCCTTTCCTAACATTAACTTTCCAAGTATTTGTTTTAAATGCAGGATAGGGGTTTTCTGACATGCTGAAACTCTTAAGGACATGACTGCCATGAGTACATGACTAACCCACTAAACACTATCCACTGTCTTAACATTAAGTGTTTACTGAGGGAGACCTTGATCAGTAGCTACATCACAAAGCCTTTCAGTTTTGGCATCACTTTGAAGAAGTGAGCTTGGAATCCAGCTTCTTTTGTGTCTGCCATGAAGTTACATGGAGTACTGTGAAAATCTGAACAGTTAGTTCATAAAGAAAGCCCAGCTTCCCAAATAAGATGAGGAAATTATTTCATTTGCTCTTTTCTGATAAGGAGTAACTTATTTCTTTCTTTCACACATCCGGCTGAGGGCATTTTAAATCTAAGGCATTCTGGCTTTCCATATAGAAATAGACTATAAAGAAATATTGACAAACTATACATGGATGGGTTACACCTGACTTACCTACACAGTAGCTGGTTGGTTTTTTTGGGTTAGTTTAATCACAGCTTTCTCCAGTTGCTGTAAGTCTAATGTACTACCCGTAATCTAATAGTTAGAACTCTGTACTAAAGGGTTTGCAAATATAGGTGGTAAGTATAGCTTCCTGGAGAGCTTCTTGTGGACTTAAATATATCTTTCCCATATAAAGTTCCACTTAAAAATCTCATCACTTTTAGGCTTTAGAGCTAACTGGTGCATCATTTGCTACATCATTCCTTTTTACATATCATAAACCCACTACTTCAGCCTTAGTCTTAGCAAAAAAGAAAAAAAGTATGTTTCAGGCTGTCAGCTCGCATTTTCAAGAAACACTAGAATCCCAGTGTTCGGGGTCAAAAGGGAACTCCAAGAATTATTGGATTTGATCCCTTTCTCAAACCAGTGCTTGCTGCAAAGTGATCGTTAGCTCATGGTCAGGCTGGAGCAGAGTTTGCATTAATGCAAGGTAACACAGGAAACATGATATTGCTGTGGTGTTATTGAGGGTGACTGAGAACTTATGATTCACTGGCAGGGAAACAGCATTTGTTAGTGAAATGAGAGTACAGAGAGTAATGCAGTCAGGCACTTTAAAAAGGAGACACCATATATTCCATGCTCTGTGTGTTAATATAGGTACATGTAAAGAGAATAAATTACCAAAAATAAAGACCTCCGGAAGTGAAAAGACAATTGAATAATTACTTTTCAGAACTGATGTAATCTCAAAAGTGTGATTAACAAACTGCAAGAAATAAATTAGTCTTCCTCTAAAATAATTTAAGATATTGATTGAATAAAATCAAAGCACAATTTTTAATTTTTTTGTACCTTTACTGGGCTCTGTTTATAAAAGAGATGTCAGACTTTAATTGGTTCATTATTTTGGGCAGCTGACAAAATATAGATACATCATGCAAAGATAAAACATCTGTTCTGAGCTGGATGTTTTCAGCTGGCTGTCAGTTCAGATAGGCATGAAAACGTCATTCTGCTCCAAATTCACTGCTAAAAGTGGTGAGCTAAGACTAACACTACAGACCAATATTGTCTCTACAGGAAAATTAATTGCTTTGCTATTGTATTTGACTAATTAATAGAAGCAAGTTGAGCACTGATCCATGACACCAAATCTATACACTATATTTTACACCTCCAAAGATTAATAGCAGGTTTGCTTTGGAGACAACTATTTTGCAACAGCAGTCCAAAAACATAGGCATTAGAGCAGTGCAGACATTCACAGAGCCAGTGTCTGACCTAGCTTTTGGTTTTATTTTGCTGAACAGGTATATAATGAAGATATGGCAACTCCATGAAAAGATGAAAAATATATCTTCCAATTGGTCCATATATTTTGGTAGCGTCACTGAAAACTTTCACCAGTGATTTAGAAGAATACTGCTTCAGGGCCAGTGCCCTCCTATAATTACCTGCCCCATGCAGAAGAGCATTGTGCTGCACAGGAAATGTTCGCTCCTTAGATGTAAGTTTTTCCTTTTTTCATCAAACATACAATACTTGCCAAGTAAGAAAAGATAAACTATTTGAAGATGTCTGCATCCATATTCTGTGCCTAAATGTCATAATTATTGTATGCAAAATTTCCTTTTTTTTTTTAATTAAATGGCTACTCTGGCATATACAGAATTTTGAAAGAATTAAAGAAATTTCAAAAATTCCTACCAGTAATAAGTAAAATCCCCAGAGCTCATATACATTTGGCAATCTGTATTTATGTGACTTTTAGCACAGGAATTAGTTCTTTCTTCAATTGATAAAGTAGGTAGATTAGAATCATACAATTTAATTTAATTTGATTAAAAACTTATCAGTTCTACAAGCAAATGTTAGTATTTGCCATGTGTTAAAACAGAATCTAGAATGGATTTAACCAGGTATTGTAGTCTTTCACAGGCAGTTGGAGCACCCTCCTACACAATATTCAAACCTCACACCTACTAATTCAGTAATTATGATGATCCCTGCATAACTTCAGAAACCTATACACTGATTATTGAAAAATATAATTTTTTCAAAAGCAGATACAAACTTCTGGGATCTTATTTACTCTTCAGGGATTTTCCCAGGGGAAAATTTTCCACACCAAATCCTTTAATCGATGCACTGGTACCAAATCCCAGTACAGACCGGCAAATTCTCTTAACTTAGTGCAGGGGACCTCTCTTGCTGGTTTCTGCATAGTATTTCCATGAAACTCATGGCATGTCTCAAACATAGAGGGACTGCATCTCCCAGGCTGCAGGGCAACCTTACAGTTTCTGCTCAGCGCAGTCTCAGTGCACTGAAGGGACGGATGCCCTTTGGGTGCTGCAGCACCGCACGTGTGCATTGTGCCCTTGCTCTAACCCTGTTGTACAAGGCGCCTCACACAACTCATAAATCAGCTGAATCTGGACACCCCACACTGTGCTCACAGTGGTCTGGGAGGCACTAAACTCTCCCTCTACTTGTATGCAAAGGGAAAATTTGAGAGTCCAGCACGGTCAGAGAAGTCTTGTCTGATGCAAGGGTGTATCACTCACCTCCAAGTTGCAGCTTTTAGTAATTTAGGCTAACTCACCAAGCAACATCTGCAGCAGCCAGTTACACCAGACTTCATACAGTTCATGTGACATGGCCTGTACAACTTTTCACATGAAAAGTGACATTATTTAGTTGTAAACCCACTTAGTTATTTCTCACTTCATCAGTAACTGCACAGTTGCCTTTAGCTGGCCTAAGATTCCTGGAATCCTTAAGCAGGGAGAGTCTACGATTTACTTCAGTTCATGACTATTTCTTTAACTGCACTAAGTTCACAGAAGGACCAAAGATTTTGTGTCTGTCAAGAAGCTCTGCATGAAAAGCTTTCTTTTCTGCAAAACATAATATTTACAGAGCCACAGCTCTGATATTTGTTCACCCAAGCCTTGCATCCTTTAAATTTTGGTTTTTGCTGCCTCACTGCATATACTTAATCAAGACCAAAAAAAAAATATGTTGCATTAAAAATATTTACCAAAACTAAAAAGTATTTTTCTATTCACTTTGGTAGTTTTGACCCCACATGAACACACTGCAGTCAGTGAAATCACACTACAAGGCCTAATCAAGAATACCCATTGATATAATTCATCATCTATCAAATGCTAGAAGAGAAACCAAATTCTTTGCTGATTTACACCAAATTAAAGCAGATTGGATTGGATAATGAGCAGAGTCAAGGTTGCAGCTGATACATATGTACAGGTAATGTTTTTTTTAACACCATGTAAAAACACAAGTGTATGCTTTCATTTGTAGACTAAGCTGTAGAGAATAGAGTTCAAGTTAAAAACATGCATGCTTAATTTGTTTACAGAAACCTTCAAATATGGCTGCATATTGCCTTCAAGACTGCTGAAGTTGCAGCAATTATTACTTAGATCTGATTGCAAACATAGTAAAAAAGACTTTATAGTTTGGATTATTTCCCCCGCTGGCTAGTACATCTAAGGAAGGCACCGGGATATGTATATTTAAAACAGAAAATAATTAGGTTTACAAACGGTCTTGTATCTCAAATGGTATTTGATTTAATTTGATTCAGTAGCAGTATTGCCAAGGCTGGATGCCAGAACTATCAACTGTGTAGGAATCAAAATTATATCCTTGACACATGGCTACAAGAAGAGAGTAATCTGGATAGTTTAAAGTGAAATCAGTGTACTGCCACATCACATACTCACTAGATAGAAACCCTACATGGTTTTGGTCAAATTTGGCCAGCAGAGACCACAGCAAAGAAAATTTATCATTGAGTAAGTGACTCAATCCAATGTTCTTAAAGAAAAACTGATTCCCTGGAATTACTGTAGAGTATTGTAAAATTTAAAAAAGTAAAATGTCAGATGACATCTATAACACTGTAAATGGTAAAAAAAAAAAAAAAAGTTAAGTAGAAACTGTGTAGAACACAAATACTTTGTTCACATAATCCAGAAATAGAGTAACTAGCAATCTAACAGTTCATGTTATGCATCTCTTAAAAGTGTACATTCTTATTCCCTTGCATAAATATTCTGTAGTGTGATATATGTAAATTATTACACATTTTCTTGTTATCAGAGACATGTTTATATGTGCCAAAAACTGTATCTCAAATCAAAATAGCATTCCTATAAGAAGGGAAAGGGGTAGATATGAAAGCAAATACAGTTCAGTCACTAGAAACACTTTCAGTTAAAATGTTGTCCCGATCCTCACAAAGATTTAAGAAATGCTATTGAACACTCCGGTTCTCATTTATTGATTACACAAATAAGTGTTGTCAGTGGCCATTACTAAGAGAAATAATCTTCCACTTAAATGAGAAATCTCTTTCCCTTTATGAAACTGGTCATTTGTTACATCAGATTTTCATCTATCTAAAAATAAAACTCCTCCATTTCTTGTTTCATAAAACTGTCAGATTAAGATGAAAATCTTTAAAGATTAAAGATTCTATCTTTTTTTTGCTAGCAAACAGCCGCTTCTCCTTTTTCTCTCTCTAATTTGTTAGTCTCAGTAAACACACACATACACATCTCTATTTAATACATTTTCTCTTATTGACTCAGAACAAGAGTAAAATCCCCCAAACTTGTAATTTAGAAACATTAAGTCAAGATGCCATTCAGGAGTGGCATCATTTGGGAGTGTTAGTTCCCATTAAATCATTACTTTTTTCTCATGCATGCTAAACCACAGAATTATTCATATGTAATTATTTAAAAATTTTTTAATTAAACAGTTTTTCAAGCTCATTGCAATATTACGACACTATTTCATAACATATTTTCACCTTTTTTTTTGTTTAATATAACTATTCTTTGATCTATAGTCATAAGCTGTTTTAACAGTACTCCTTCTACATCTGTCTTACAGTAAGGTGTCTCACCCTCTGAACTCAGATATTAATTTTACAACTCTAAATTCTGTTTCACATTTATACATTTTTCTATACTGCATTTTGCTTAATAAATTGAAGCGATGGACGCATCTGGGAATTTTCTGTTGGATTTTACCTTCTCAGATTCCCCAGCGAGTCACTAATGGTGTTCTTCACCTCTTCCTTTCCTGGGTTAAAAAATCTTTCTTTCAGTGAACTGAGCCCTTTGAAAGGCATTTTGTCTTTCTTCTTCAGTAAATCCCTTATGTCAACAAGCATTCACTTCTGCTGTCATATTTCCC